TAAGAATAAGGCAACAGAGCAAGTAAAAAGGTTGGGGCTCCCTGTTCAGTCTTGAGATTTGTTGGTGGCACAAACCAACTTGGGAATGCCAGAGTCACTCTGATTTGTTATTTGGGGTAATCACAGAGCCAATGCGTGCCTCCAATAGGTTCTGTTCAGCAGTCATAGTTTTCTAAGTAGTTTAGAGTTTAAATATGAAGCTCCAAAAATGGGTGCTAATGCTGAATGTTCAGTATATTTAAATGACCTGTATGCTTCCAATTCTATCACAGGAGGAAAATTTTGAAGAGGCTGAACTCTCAAGTTACTTTAGCTCAACAAGGAAGGCTTTCCTCTTTTCCATGTGCTATCCCTTCACTATTGACAAAATATTTTATTTTTGCAGTCAAGAGCCTGCAAACATCTGGAGGACACTTCCTATAACAGCACCATGTTGCTTACACCTGCTTGAAGAGGGTAGGAATCAAACCAATGGAGTTCAAATTAGAAAACAGAAGATTTCAGCTAAACATTCGGTAGAACCTCCTGATAGCATGAGCAGTTTGATTGCAGAACACAGTTCTTAAGAATAAGGAGAATTGTCCTTTATTAAATGTTTTTAACCAGAGATTAGATAGCTACCAATCAGGGGGGCTGTAGCAGCAGTTTTTCTATTTTGGCAGGGGCTTGAACTATATGCTTTTTGAGGTTCTTTTCACTTCTTTATTTCTGTTTTTTTTTTTAAAATAATATTTATTAAGATTTCAAAAAAAGAAAAATCACATTAATGAGAAAATTAACAATAAAAAGGAAAAATACAAAATACAAAGAAGAAAAAACAGTTAAAAACAATTCCATCTTTCCATCACTTCTTTTACGTTTACTTGTTTCCCGGACCTCCTCATACCTCCCTCTTTTGTATTCCAATTCAATTTGTTAATCCAGCAATTCCTTTCCCTCCTTTTAATCCTAATCTTTAATCTTAATATATTATAACATTAATTTTTTACATATTAAAAACCAATTTTTCCATATTCTTTTATACCAGTACAGCTAGAAACCACTTAACTTCAATCCAACATCATTCTAACGTTCATTAATTTTGCAATATTTCTGTAAATAGTCTTTAAATTTCTTCCAATCTTCTTCCACCGACTCTTCTCCCTGGTCTCGGATTCTACCAGTCATTTCCGCCAACTCCATGTAGTCCATCAATTTCATCTGCCATTCCTCCAGTGTGGGTAAGTCTTGTGTCTTCCAATGCTTTGCAATAAGTATTCTTGCTGCTGTTGTAGCATACATAAAGAGAGTTCTATCCTTTTTTAACATCGATTGGCCGACTATGCCCAGGAGGAAGGCCTCTGGTTTCTTCAAGAAGGTATATTTAAATACCTTTTTTAGTTCATTATAAATCATCTCCCAGAAAGCCTTAATCCTTGGGCACGTCCACCAAAGGTGAAAGAATGTACCTTCAGTTTCTTTACATTTCCAACATTTATTATCGGGCACATGGTAGATTTTTGCAAGCTTGACTGGGGTTATGTACCACCTGTATATAATTTTCATAATATTCTCTCTTAAGGCATTACATGCCGTAAATTTCATACCTGTGGTCCACAACTGTTCCCAGTCAGCAAACATAATATTATGTCCAACGTCTTGTGCCCATTTAATCATAGCAGATTTCACCGTTTCATCCTGAGTATTCCATTTCAACAGCAAGTTATACATCTTTGACAAAATCTTAGTTTTGCGTTCTAACAGTTCTGTTTCTAATTTTGATTTTTCCACCTGGAAGCCAATTTTCTTGTCCAAATTGTATGCCTCCATTATCTGATAATAATGAAGCCAGTCTCGCACTTTATTTTTTAATTTTTCAAAACTCTGCAGTTTCAATCTATCTCCATCTTGTTCCAAAATTTCCCAATATTTCGGCCAATTGACCTCCATATTAAGCTTTTTCAGAGCTTTCGCTTCCATCGGTGACAGCCACCTTGGGGTTTTATTTTCCAATAAATCCTTATATCTTATCCAAACATTAAACAGTGCTTTCCTAACAATATGGTTTTTAAATGCTTTATGTGCTTTGACCTTATCATACCACAAATATGCATGCCATCCAAATACATTGTTAAAACCTTCTAGATCCAAAATGTCAGTGTTTTCAAGGAGCAGCCATTCTTTCAACCAGCAAAAAGCTGCTGATTCATAATAAAGTTTGAGGTCTGGCAGGGCAAATACACTCTTTCCTTTGCATCTGTTAAAATTTTGAATTTTATTCTGGGCTTCTTGCCCTGCCAGACAAATCTAGAAATATCTCTCTGCCACCTCTTGAAACAGTCCATTTTGTCCACAATTTGCAATGTTTGAAACAAAAACAACATTCTAGGCAATACATTCATTTTAACCGCAGCAATACGGCCCAGCAATGAAAGCTTCAAATTTGACCAAATTTCTAAATCTTTTTTCACTTCAGCCCAACATTTTTCATAGTTATCTTTAAATAAATTCCCATTTTTTGCTGTCATGTTGATCCCCAGGTATTTAACTTTCTTAACCACTGTTAAACCTGTCTCATTCTGAAACCTCTCTCTCTCTATTGGTGTTAAATTTTTCTCTAAAACCTTAGTTTTTAACTTATTCAATTTAAACCCTGCAACTTGACCAAATTCTTGAATCAATTCTAAAACCCTTTTGGTACTAGATTCTGGCTCCTGTAACGTCAGTACTAAGTCATCTGCAAATGCTCTCAATTTGTACTGTTTGGCTCCGACCTGTATACCTTTAACCAACTGGTCCCTTCTAATCATTTTCAGCAAAACCTCCAGGACTGAAATAAAGAGCAGTGGGGAAATTGGGCAACCTTGTCGTGTCCCTTTTTCTATCTTAAATTCTTCCGTCACCACATTATTTACAATTAATTTAGCCTTTTGTTCTGAATAAATTGCACTTATACCATTTTCAAAGCCTTGGCCTACCCCCATACCCTGTAGGTTCTTCTTCATAAAACTCCAAGAAATGTTGTCAAAAGCTTTCTCCGCGTCCACAAATATCAAAACTGCTTTAGTATTTATATTCACTTCTAGTTTTTCCAAAATATCAATTATATTCCTCAAATTGTCAGACAAGTGTCTTCCCGGGAGAAAGCCCGCTTGGTCTTTATGGATCTCTTCCATCAACACTTTTTTCAGTCTCTTGGCCAAAATGTCTGCAAAAATTTTGTAATCCACATTAAGTAATGATATGGGGCGGTAGTTCTTAAGCTGCGTCTTTTCAATCTCTGTTTTCGGTACAAGTGTGATATAAGCTTCTTTCCACGACTCTGGTGCCCTTTTCCCTCCATTATTTCATTACAGACCTCTTTCAAGGGTTGTACTAGCCATTCTTTCAAGGATCTGTAATATCTAGAAGTCAGTCCATCCGGTCCTGGAGATTTACCCAATTGCATGTTTTGAATGGCACCTTCTATCTCCTGTTCAGTTATTTTATAGTTCAACATTAATTTATTTTCTTGAGAGATTTTTTTGTAATCCATTTGTTTTCAAAAATCGATCTACATCAGTTTCTTTCAGTGGCCCTTATGTATATAATTGTTTAAAGTATCTCTGGAAACAATTTCTAATCTCAGCTGGGTTCTGTATATTCCTTCCTTCCACTTCTAAATTTGTAACTGTATTTAATTTTTGTCATTTTTTCATTTGCCAAGCCAACGATTTCCCACATTTATTAGCCGCACTTCTTTATTTCTGTGATCTACTTTTGCTATCACTTTAGGTATGTTTCAATCTCTTATCTAGGGAACTGTCTTTCTTCCTTAGAATCTTACCTTAGTCAAAATCAAAGGTAGCCTTAACATGAGAAAAGGTGAGTCATCCATCTTAAGCAACAGATTTTATATGGCATTAAGGCAGGGGTCAGCAAACTTACCACACCTCGGGCTGGTGTCTCCAGCACCGATCGCACGGCGGGCGGGGGAGCACATGCCCATACGCGTGTGCACACACTATTTCCGGTGCACTTCCAGGTCGGAGGAGCACCAGAAATAGCTTGTGCGCATGTGCACGGGACTCCTCTGACCCGGATGTGCACCAGAAATAATGCATGTGCATGTGCAAATAACGCTTGCACATGTGCACAAGCTATTTCCAGTGCTCCTCTGACCCGGAAGTGGGCAGCCGTGCAGCGGCAGTGGGCAGCGGGGGTCGCTGCGGGCTGGATAAATGAGTCCCTCAGGCCTTATCCGGCTCGCAGGCCTTAGTTTGGGGACCCCTGCATTAAGGGGCAGGCAGATCATCCCTCTTGGGTTTAATTCACAGGACATCCTCCTGCACAACAGAATGTTTCTCACCCAAGTTAATTTATTAACATGACAGAGATAGAGGCTTGTTATTTATAAAGAAAATTCTTTTAACAAAAGTTTTTTTTGGGGGGGGGGCAAATGCTCCACTGATGTTTAATGATGAAACAACTGATTTGGAAAGAGATAAGCTTCTGCCTGCTGTTCTTAAACTGACTCCTAAAATCACCTGCTCACATATATTTAGAATGAGCTTTGTACCTCAAAATAAAAGGATTAGACTTGCTAATCCCTAAAAGGTAAGAGAAAGAACAGCAAGCTTTGGAATTTTGTATATTAACATCAGCCTTAGCCTGTGTTAAATATAGAGGCACATGAAAGCTTGTGTATAGCATGGCTAAAATATCCCACTTGGGATGGAACAATGATCGGAGCCATGGTCATTTTAATTCTGGTTGGTTCAGACATACTTTAAACTTCACTGGAGGCTGAGTCAGAAATGATCCATCAAGCAGTGTTGGAGTGGACCAATGTTCTTCAACTTTGGACCCCAGAAAGTGGTAAATTACAACTCCTATCACACTCAGCCATTTTAACTACTAGACAAGGATGGTGGTGGTTGTAGTCCAGCTTCAGGCGACCCTTGGTTGAAGAACATTCGTCTACTCCAGCAGTGTTTCCATAGGGTCTGAGAGGGTCTTTCCAAAAACCTACTGCTTTTAACTGGAGACACCAGGGTTTGACACTGGGGCCATCTGCTTGCAGAACATATACTCAGCCACTGAACCATGTCTGCTCTGCTCCATTTTATATAAAGTAAGGGGTTGGGCTGGGTACATGTAGGTATCATGTTCCAACTTAGAGCCTCCAGAAGGTATGTGGTCCTTCAGATGTTGTTGGGCTCCATCAGTCCCAGGGATGATGGGAGCTGTAGTCAAACATCCTCTGGAGGGCCACAGGTTCCCCATTCCTGGCCTACAAGATAGGGTACTTCTAAGTTTTACCTGGGTCCAGGCTAATTCGTGGGAGATCAGCACCATGGACAGCTCACTGCCAAACTGGGTAAGGAGTCCTTCTGTATTCAAGGCACCAAAGATTGGCAAGCTTTAAATGTTGCTCCAGCATAGGAAACAGCCAGCTGAGAGCTTAAGTAGTCCTGCAGCCAAGTTCATGTTCCCCTCGTAGTGAGCTAGAAATTTGCCCTGAAGTGCAGAGAAATGTGTATGCGTGTGTATAGGGTTCGGTTACACCCACCCACACGTCCACTTTGGCATAAAAATAAGACACCCCCTCCACTTCCCACTATATACATGAATGGGTCAGATATACAAATAAGCAAACATAGCTACCTACGTCACATCTAATTTGTTTCTGGGTATGTGTCTAAATGCATCTGTGCATATTTTCCTACCTCCCCTGGCTTACTCTCCTTTGCTAGTTTTCCTCCTCTAGAAACTAAATTTTAAAGAACAGCGCTGAACATTTTTTTCCCTGTTTCTCTCCCTGCCCCCAACCATATTCCACTAATTAGTAAGAAAATATATTATGTTAAAATTAGGAAGGGAGAGAAAGAAATTCGTTGGAATGTTCATGGGTGGAGTGTGGAGCTTTGTTATTTTTCAAGCTGAGAAAAGGGGTTGTGAATGTTCTTTCGTTGCTGTTGTTTATTCAACAAATCATCTTTTTTGGGGGGGGTCTACATTGTGCAGCCCTTTTTCTGTGTCTTTGCTCACCAAAAACCCCATGAATTCCTGTAACTGTGTGAATGCAAATAGGTTGTATACATTGAAGCCCTGACACAAGCACTATCCTCAGCTGCCATAACGTAAGCTCAACCCACTAACATCTGGAGCAAATTCTAAAGCACCATGTAACTGAGGGAGAAAAATGGAAGCTTCTTTCAAAGGGGGGCGGGATGGGAGACAGATTTCAGCACAATACAACTTAACATCCAACTTACATGTTAGACGTTAAGATCTTCATGATTGGACAGAGACCAATCTTTTGCTTATGGCATTGTGCATTGATGGTGCAAGCATATGTGTGCAATTTTTTTTAAAAAAAATTGTACAGGGTTGTGGCTACTTGGCAAGGAGAAAGGAAGAGGCATTCATACAGGTGGGAAAGAGTCCCTGCCCGGCAACAAATGGAAGCAGATTTTCATGATTTCATACAGGAATCTCTCCCAGCCATGCCTGGAGATGACAGGCATTGAACCTAGGACCTTCTGCATATAAATGGATGTTTTACTACTGAGCTACACCCCTATCCCCAATAAATCCTTGTTTCTCAACATATCATTATTTTAACATATATTTTAACATATCATTTCCAACAATCATTTAACATAACTTATCTTATACAATATTTTAGACTTCCATCAACACCTCTGAAGATTTTCCATTCTTTATCACTTGTTCTGTATTTCTTAATTTCTCTATTACTTTTAATTATCCTTAACTAAAAAATCTTCCTTGCAATATTTCACAAAGTCCTCCTTACAGAACTTCTTGCAATCCTACTGGCATAATCTGTTTATCTAATATATCCTTGTTTCTCAGAGGCAAAGAGGGTACTATTCCCCTACTTATTTATGATGCCCTCTATAATTTCATGATTGTCACAGGAATAACATTGCATTCATTTTCTTTTTGGTCATACCCAAGAGTTAAACCTTCATGAAATGGTTTTGCCTCCAAATTGTCAGCAGACCTGATTCTTAGAACACTTAATCTGCATAGCTAAGTTGGGTTTGGAACTGATTACATGGATACCTCGAGCCAATTTACACATTACATGGGAGACCCATGATTAGTGTTTAAAAACAACACACCCCTGAAAATGCAGTTTCAGAGTGGGGTGGATGACTGAAAAATTAATCAAAACAGTATTGTTATGAAGGGGGTGCTTAACCCTTCTCCCAAGGCCATAATTGTAATCAAAATTGCCCCCCTTGCGTTCCCACCTGTAAGAAAAATATGGCTAATCTGATCGCAAAAATGGCACTCAGGGAATGAACTCCACCTCCCTCCAAAACTGCTTCTGCAATCAAATTTCCTGCCTTCTTGCATTTCAGTGTTGTTGGGATATATGCAAAAGCATTTGGAGACCAATCAAGGTGTCTAAGCATAATGTGGTTCTTGGCATGAAATCTATGCAGCTGAAATGTTCTAATTTTCTTGTTAGATGTAGAGTGATTTATTTTCCCAACGTGTGAGGATAGTACAGTAAACCTTTGAGCCCAGAAAGGTATTTGCCACATTGCATTTGTGTCTTGAGCCTCAGAGGGAGAAATTATATACTACTGGCACCACTCACCCAGACGTCAAAGGATGCTGTGAATATGGAGCTTAAAGGTCCCAAATACCAAGTGGTGCATGAACCTTGATGGCAGCTGTGGTGTGGCTCTTTGGTGTGAAGTTTGTTGCTGTCAGCTGCTAAAGTAGTGTGAGCTGATTTTTAAAAAATGAAGAAGAACCTATTGTGCTTATCTTCACTTATCATTTCTCTGAGCTGATGAGCTGACTTAGGGAAATATGGAGGGAGCTGCTGCATTCTTGCATGAGTCGAGTTCCGAGTGGTTCTGTCCCTCAGCATCTTTGAGGAGCTCACTTCCAGGGTGCCAAGTTTTTGCTGAGCACAAAATCTTGTTTGCCAGTTTTACTGCATCCTCCTGTCAAGAGCAAGTCTCTCAGCTCAGAGGTAGCTTCAGAACCAAGGTGTACCAGACATCTGCCAGAAACTGCACCTAAGCAAAACTGTGAACAGAGGTTGGGAAAATGATTACCTGCCTGATACGGAGTCAGGTTGCTGGACCATCTATATCAGTACTGTCTTCAAAGTGATGAACAGGGTTTCAGCTGGAAAGTGGGCATTCCCAGCTCTTCCAGGAGATCACAGGGATCAAACCTGGGACCTTGTGCATAGAAAGCATGTCCTCTACCACTGCTCTAGAGTCCTTCTCCAACTTAAAAGATGTAGATTTTCAGCTGTGCTTTTGAGAGAAAACTACCTTGACTTCATGGGGTATCATGAGTTTTGAGTCTCACCTTTGGTTCAAATGCAACCACTTTCTCAAGCCAGGAGGCAAGTTAAGCAGAACAGGAGCTTTTCCTTTGCTGCTTTCATCTAGTTCCAGGAGCAGGTTAATGTCGTGGAGAACAGGATTGTAGAAGAGGGCACAGGCCTCTAAACATAACATGGTGATTTTTCTGATTGCTACTTCTATCATAGACCCGCTTTGTTAAGACCCAGAGTGGTGTATTGGTTAGAGTGCTAGACTAGCACCTGGGAGTCCAGGGTTCAAATTCTCACTCAGCCATGAGACACACTGATTGACTTTGGTCACCACTTCTCAATTCAAATTACCTTACAAGGTTGTTATAAGAATGAAATGGGGCCAAGGGACACCAGATATTATTGTGTTGAAATCTTTAGAGGAAAGGTGAGATATCATCACCGGCTTGAGGCCTTGGGCATTCAGGTGCCCCTTCCCAGCTTCTTATGAATTCACTTACATTTTCATTTGTGCAGCTGGCTTTGAATTGTTCTGATCTGCTGGTTTTCCCTCTGCTGTCTGTTTCCCCTTCTATCTCTGTGTTGATTTTTTAAAAATTGCATTTTGATACTCTTGCTTCTGGTCACCTCTGACTTCTTCAAGAATGGAGGGATGGGGGATGTGGTACCCTCCAGATGTTGCTGGACTCCATGACCATTGGCCATGCTAGCTGGGGCTACTGAGTAATGAATGCCAACAACACCTGGATGGCCACAGGTTCCCCACCCCTAATATATGGCTTCCCTTACACAGACACACACCAAAACCAATAACCATCCCCACCTGAATAACCCCTGCTACCCACACCAGGAACTTCACCAGGAACTTCCCACACCATGATCTTCCTTTTCTTTTTAAATGTTTTGGGCTGTGGTGGCTTTCTGAGGTGTGGGGGGAGTGCACTTTAAAAGGACTCTTAGCAAAGCGAGGGTTGTGGATTTGGGCTGGGGCTTGCAAACAGTCTCTTCCTCCCCTCCTGCCCGAGCGCACCCCCACCCCCACCGTCGATGGCGTTTTCCAGAACCCCGTGAGAGAGAAGCGAGCAAACGATCGAGAGGGCTGGATCCCAGTCCAGGCGGAGAAACGACTGGAGTGGCGGGTGGGGGCGGGGGGTCGTCTCTGGTGGGGAAGAGGAGCCAGCCAGCAGCGGCTGCTGCTGCTGCTGCTGCTGCTGCTGCGGGCGAGACCACTAGTCAGTTTCGCGCCTCTCTCCCCCACATCTGCTAAGGTGGTGACACGGATCGCTCGTCTTCGGGCGGGAGGGGACGGGAGTCTCACCAGCAACCCTTTGCTGCTCTCTGCTCCCCATCACACCCGGAATCCAGGAGCAGCAGCGGAGGTGGCGGCGGCTGTGGAGGAGATTTGGGATTGTAGCCAATCCAGAGCGCAAAGAAGCGAAGGCTGCGTCTGCCTGACAGCCCCCCATTCATCCTCTCTCTCCCTCCCGCACCTTGTGCCCGCTTGGCTTGGGACCTGGGTTGGAAAATGAAGATGCCGTGACGTCTAAAGGTTGGTTGCCCGATGGGCAAGTTTGGTGGGGCCAAGTAAAGGAGTCCGGTGGAAGAAGGAGCCGCGGGACTCTTCTTCCCCCACCTAGCGCTCCTCCGTTTCCCCTACCCACCCCAACGGCCACGGGGGCTGGATTATTATTCCTGCTGTTGCATCCCTGCCAAAGAGGAGCGTGCCTCACCCACGAGGGAGCCTGAGGATCACAGTCCGGATCATGTAGAGCCCCAGTT